AACAACGTGGCATCCGACGAACCGACTCCACAGTCCGCCCTTCCATTCCTCCATTGAGAATGGGACCAAGACGCACGCTGCCTTTCAGCATGCAAAACCATTTTTTCAGCTGTTTTGTAATCCATAACCAAACAGCCATGTTCAAACCACAAGAGCTGGTCCAGCGAAGATTTTGCACCCATGTGACACGTTCCATTGATCACAGTGAGGTTCGCCCCAAACTCCAAAATCAACCAGAGAGGGATAATCAGGGGCCCATTGTCTTCCCTAATCAACGTCCCTTTCTCTGTAATCCTCATTGTCACACCACCAAGCGCGCTTTGCACCATAACAGTAGTGTCTGGTAAACATTCCCATGGAAAAAGCGTCCGCGCAAGATGCGTAGCAGCTGTATCCACCAATGCCACTCTCCCTTCCTGCTGAAGCAGCCCAGAGCCACATAACATTCGAATACTGGGATCCCCGCTTGATGCCGACTGTTCTGATGACAGCTTCATAGATTTCAGCACTTCTAACGCTTCAACAAGGACCTGATTGGCCGTTGATGGCGATGAGGGACTTGCAGAACCTTTATCCAATCCCGCATCAGCCGTCTCATCTCCCCCTTCAGCTACCTCTGCCTTTTTGGCATTTCCCCATTTCGCACCTTTGCCGCCCTTTCCCCCTTTGGGAGAATTCCCTTTAGATCTACTCCTCTCAGGATTTGAGTCCACATTAGAACTTGCACCATCCTTATATGGACATTGCGGCTGCAGATGGCCAACGGCCCCACACTCAAAACATCTTCCTCGCTCAAGGGAGTCTTTGTCATGGCGAAATTTGCAGCGGGATCCGAACTTGCAACCTGCATCGGTCTTCCCATATATCCAACAGAAAGGACGTTCACCATCTCCGCTGTACCTTTTTCCTTTCCCTTTGCCTTTGTCACCCTCCTCCGTCTCGTCACCAGTTCCCTTTTGGGCCTTGTTTAACCTGGCCCTTTTCTTGGCGCCCGAGTCCTGCTTCACCTCTTGTTCACCAGCACTATGCAGTAGCAGTTCAAACTCTGCCTGTAACATTTCAGCTAGTTTTGTCGCAGTTTCAGAGGTCGGCGAGTAGTCCACCCCCAATTTCTCCCGAACGGATGCCACTCTGAAATGAACCGTAGGGTGTTTCGCCAGCAACGCGGATGATAAACCATCCAATCCCTTGATAAGCAAGGTAGCGTCCGGCTCGGCCGCTCTCAACTCCCTTAATCGGGAACGCCATTGCGCCCATTGACGCACTCCCTTCATGGCCTCTGAGATCGAGGTTGCTGGAGATGGTTGCACCAAGAAGTTCAACATTGTGCTGCGCTCATTTGCTCCACCTGGTTGGTAGACCGTCAGCAATTTGTAGAATATCATCACTGACCCCAACATTCGAGTGGAAACGATCTCGGTCTTCAATCTCTCCGGGATCGCCTGTAGCAGCAAAGACACCGCTCTCTGCTCCAACAAAACATGCACAGTTTGAACCACTTTGAGCCCTTCCAGCTCAGCCTTGATGCCCAACCTTTCCAGTGGAGAAACACTCAACCATTTGGCATACGCTTGATATGCCTTTGAGTAGACGCATTGCCACCACACTCTTCCTGTATCTGTCAGCGAAGACAACATTGGTTCGATCATTGCGATCCAATCACCCAGTGCCGTCGGATTGCTTGGTGTGTAGTCTGCCAAAGTTGGAAGGCTCATCACATGCTTCCCGAGAGCCTCCGGACGTTCGGTTCCAGAACTATCACCAGTGATTGGCATACCACGTGGCACCACTGCTCCAGGAGGTAAACTGACCCTACCACCAGGCCCTTGAGGTAGTCCATGTCCTATACCAGGCGTAACAGCTGTGAGCGGAACCTTTTCTAGTTCCAACTTCCCAGCGACCATTTTCCACCGATACGGAACATCATCCACCATTGTATATCCACCCGATCCTGCTGAGTTCTCTTGCGTTGCAGTTTCCCGAGCTGAAACAAAACCGGGCTGGTTCCCCACAGGTGCGGCAGAACCATCAACACCTGACGGCACGGAAGTAATCGGAACATGTGTTAAACCAGGTGGTCCACTTGCATATCCACCACTTGCAGGACCTCCCGTGGGGTAATTCAATGGAGGCAATCTGGAGGGTTTCTTCCCTTCAGCTATATGCATCATTGGCACTTCTTTTTCATCCTCCACTTGAACATCCCCCTTCCTGGACCCAGGCAAGGATTGAAGATCACAACCCTTTGGCAGGTCGTAGCCCTCAATAGGCATCCATGTCCCATCCGGCAACACAGTCCAAAAACCACCCATACCATCCGTGTAGAAAACTTGTCCTGGCAGGTACTGCTTCTCTGGAGTCATTCCTAGAGGATATGCCGTGTTTGCGTCCAGAGCTCCGTGCCCTTGAAGCTGACCCAGATGCAGCAGAGGTATAGCTTTTCTCCTCCACCCGATGCAACCTGTTCCCCAGCTCCTTTGTTTGCACAAGCAACTCTTTCAGCGCACGCTTTACCACCGCCATATCTTCAGTTTGCTCTTCACCACTAACATCAGGAATGAGTTCTTCGTCGGCTTGCACTCCACCAATAGTACCTCGCTCCATTTGGCCCATTAAGCCTGACGATGGTCTCTCAACAGGTGCAGGTTCCTGACCCAAAAGATCTTGCAGCGAAGGCGGCCTCCTCGTACCTTCACCACTTCTATCCCCTCCGCTCGCGGGAAGACTTGCCGGCCTTGATTGCCTAAGTCTCATTTCTTCTTGAGCCCGCTCGCTCCAGAAAGGATTTGCTGCTTGAACCGGAACCACTTCGTTTTCCACCTGAGGCGTTGGTTGTATCATTGCAACCTCCCTACCATCTGTCAGCGCTTGTACCATTTGTTGTCGATCTTCACCCCCATCACCACGATTTCCTTCGGCTTCATTGGCCGTTGGCGACAGTCCAGGCTCAGAGCGACGCCGCATCATGTCCATGGCGTTAAACAAACGAAAAATCTTTACCAATTCCGCAGGAAGCCTAATTTGGGCTCATAACCCACGGGGGGCAACCGAAGGAGGACAGGGAACAAAACAGTCAACCCCAACAGAAGCCCTTGATCCCCTGGACCAACCAACACCAAACCAAACCCAAAAGACCAAGCACCCTTTTCTCACTAAGTGCACTGTCATCTTGAGCCAAAAATTTTCGGGTACATTGACCCCTTCAACTCCCATCACCAACTCCTTTCTACACTACCAGTTGCAGCTCCGCATAGGGTTTAGGGTTTAGGGTTTAGGGTTTAGGGTTTAGGGTTTATTTAGGGTTTAGGGTTTAGGGTTTAGGGTTTGGAGGGGGGGGCGTGGCTTTGTAGGTGTTCCTGCTCCTTGGGACACCTCGAGGAGTTTGGCTACCGGTGGCTGGGGCTGGGCTTTGAGATTGTCTCCCCCGAGCCCCTAGGAACCCTAAAGCCTAAACGCTTTGGACCTTAAACCCTGAACCCTGAAACCTAAACCCTGAGCCCCAAGCCGTAAACCCTAGACCCTATAAACCCTAAGCCTGCCTGCGGTTGGGCCAGCAATGCGGGAGCCTAAACTCTAAACCCTAAACCCTAAACCCTATAAACCCTAAACCCTAAACCCTAAACCCTAAACCCTAAACCCTAAACCCTAAACCCTAAACCCTAAACCCAAACCCTAAACCCTAAACCCTAAACCTGAGAGCCGATAAGCAGGAGGAGAGTGGCTGCAACTCGGCCGGCTCGAGCTTCAAGAGGGACCTGGAGCCCGTGCTGGCCCCGCCCCCCAGAGCATTTTGCGAAGGGCTTCCGGTTTCCAAGGGGGGGCGGTTCCTTGAATCAGGTTTAGGGTTTAGGGCTTAGGGTTTAGGGTTTAGGGTTAGGGTTTAGGGTTTAGGATTTAGGGGTGACAAGCCCGTGGCAATTAGGGCTCACAATCAAGCATTGAGGTTCAGCTGCAGGGTGTTGGGTTTAGGGTCCGTGGTTTGGGTAGCTAGCAGGCCAAACTGAATTTCTCCCAGACGCTGTCCAGTCGAGCCGAGTGGACGCTGCGAAAACGCTGTTGACAGTTTACTACGTTTCGGTCACCCTCTGCCAGGGCTCCATGAGTTCGATGCATGACCACCAAAGCAAGTAGCTCAGATGACGGGAAGTTCGCCCGCCCCCCTTATTACGCACTATGTCGACTTGCTTGTGACGTGTCTAGCCTGAATTCTTTGGGCCCCTCACCCCAGCTGGCGCCAAGGAATTCTGTCAACACCTTGAAAGACAAAAAGGATACTGCTCGAAGTAAGACTAGCCGTATCAGACGTAGCACGCAACACAAATACAACAATCACACCAACAATCAAAGAAGTAGCTCCAAACGCATGGGAGCCCTAGCAGCCTACGACCCACAGGCCGATGCCCTGCAGACTTCACCCGCAGAGGACGTGGGGCCTCATGTCCATGTAAGGTCATCGCCGGCATTTCGGAGTCAACCTTGGTTCGGCTAGCAGCTCCCAAGGCCACATACCAAGGACCTTGTGTTCGGGTGCGGGGCGTGGGAGCTGCATGGAGAATGAGAGTTGGGCTAGAAGCCGGAAATGCCCGAAAAGGATGCCTCGTAGTGCGTTTCCCTGGTAAGGGTTGTTCACGGGCGCAGCAACCTACAGCTAATCCGTTCATGTTTTCGGCGGAGCCGACACAAGGGTACGAACCAAACCGTGCCCCAACCGCGCAGGACCATGTCTTGACCCTGCGTGCCGCACCAGCTCAGGTGTCGATCTGTTTTTTTTAGCAGATTCAGTGAGCCCCAGTGCAAGCCTGAGCAGGGAAGCAAGTCGTGAAGATTTTTGCTGAAGGGTTCGATCATGCAGTTGGAAGCTCATGTGCGATTCACCGGCTCGCCGCATGTCGCCGCAGTAATTAATCAGACCGCGCGTAGATGTCAAGTGACACGACATGACAGGACCTTGGCATTCCAGCTGCAAGTTCAGGGAGCTTTGCTAGAAGAGGTAGACCTGGATGCCCGATGTTCAGCAACCTTTGCCGGGATGGCTTTTCCCTTTTCAACTTTGCGCTGCTGGCTCTGGGACCAGTGGCAAACCCTCCAACTGCAAGTTGTGCTGTGAAGGACGGCCCGAGCAAACGGACGTGATTGTGCATCGCACATTGCCCGGGATCAGTGTTTTTGCTGAGCCCGATATAGGTCTAGGCATTGGCATGGGCGGGGACGAAGTCCTGTCACACCATGTTCTGGAATGCTTGCAGGGCAGCTGGTACCGAAAGGCAGACGGCAAGCATGTGGGCGCCGTTTCTGGCTCCTTTCTGGAAGTAAGTGCTGCCTGGGTGCCCCGTATCACAACCTGCCGGATACCTTGCAACATCAGCGACACCCTCGTTCTCAGCATCGATGGCCAGACCTTCTTCGGCACTATCTCTTTGGAGGCGCAGTACTCCATTACCTGGAGCAACGGCGATGTTTGGGTAAAGAAGTGATCTGCTGGACATGCAGGAGCTAGGAAATCTTGGCCGAACACCGTGAGCTGAAGCCTTGCGCACTTTCTCCACTACGGCACGGTCGTGGTCCGAGCAACGTTGAAAGAGTCCCCCTTGAAAAATAGGGGGTGCCTTATTGGGGTCCTTACTATCAGGGAATTGGCATTGTATGTTAGGGGTCCCGTATTTTCGTAAACCCCCATATTTCGCAACTGTTTGAACCCAAGGTGGTGGATGGAGACCGCCTGTTTCAGTTTCACAGGGAGGGGTGCCAAGCAATGTCTGGACCCAAAAGCTCAAGATTGCCAGCAATCCGCATGTAGGCCCTAGGCATGTTGGGTCGCTTACTACGAAGTCTTGCGGAGGTGAGTCTGGCTGGAACGCACCGGCGCCATAGCCGGCTGCACTTCACAGTGGCTTCAATTCGGCCAGTAGGTCTGCTATCTATTCTATACAAAGTATACATAAACACACATGCATATATACATGTGTTACATATGCACTCATATTCTTTTTTTATGACAATAATACTGATAATGGAAGTAAAGAATAGTAACAAGAATAATACTGATCGTAATAGCTGTCAGTAGGCCTCCTGGCCTGGTGTTCGGAGTTGTCCCAAGCGATTTCTGCCGCAGGCGGGTGGCCGCGCCTGCGAACATCATGGCGTCGACTCCTGGTGCATCTTGGCATACTGGCTTGCGGGGGTATGTGCATGTGTGTATATATATGTATGTGTGTATAAAAACAAAATACAAATATAAATATAAATATAAGTATAAGTAGAAGTAGAAGTATAAGTACAAGTATAAGTATAAGCATAAGCATAAGCATAAGCATAAGCATAAGCATAAATAAATAGATAAGTACAAATCTAAATTAAATATATATATATATATGTATATATATGTATTTATACATATGCATACACATACATATATGTACTACATATGTATGCCGGCATGTTTGTGCATAGCTACTTCGCACGCTCTCTTGGCTTCAGAGTTTCGAGCCGAGCGGGGCCTTGCAACAAATGCTCAAGAAGCGGGGAGATGGCTGCTCTGCGTTGTGCGGCTACCCCTGAAGCCCAATCCTGCAAAAGCCCTCAAGAACTACGACTCAAGCCCTCAGCCTGTAGGGCTTATAGCCCGAGGTGAGGACATGGCCACGCGTTTCGCCCGCCTCGACCCACGTCAGCGCCTGGCGCTGGAGGCGTCCTGACTCGGGTTTGATCTACAGATGCTCAGGGCTGAGTGCTTGAGGCGGTGCTGGATTACAGTACCTTCAGCGCACGTTTTAGGGTTTAGGGTTTAGGGTTTAGGGTGCCTGGGCAACATCACAGACGTCAGATGGAGTTGTGCTGCGTGCGGCAATGCGGGGGGGGGGAGGGGGCGGGGGGCGGAAAGGGCATTGCCCGGAGGACTCATCCGGAACAAGAGCCTCTTCCACGAGCATGGCTACTTACAGTGATTCACAGCAACCCCCATCCATTGAGAATTAACGGCTCCCACACCCCCAAACCCTTAGAACACCGTGGACTACTTGGAGGTTCATGGGTACTTATGACCCATCATCTACTTGGAGGACTTAGGGCTTATAAGGTACAGTTATTGTTGGGGTTACAGGTACCCTAAACCCTAAACCCTAAACCCTAAACCCTAAGCCAAAAGCACGGAGGAGCTGCTGGAGGTGGCCGAGAAGGCTCCCGCCACATGTACCCGAAAGTTGGGGTTCAGATACCCTCTACTATTATAGACCCTAACGGATTAGGGGTTCGGGGTTTAGGGTTTAGGTATATGAACCATGGACTCTTTTGGGGCAAATTTGGTTACCCTAAAATTGTGGCTCATATACCCTCCAGTACGATAATCCCCTATTAAGGCATATGAACCATAAATTGGGGTCATATACCCCTCACTACTCCCCATTAAGGCAGATGAACCACTGATGAACCATAAGCCCTCTAGGGCTCACATTTAAAACGGTCTCTACTCTATAATCCCTATGAAGGTGTGTGAGCCATAAACCCTTTAGGGCTCAGAGTTCGTCCTCAAGGTAGCTGCAGGATTTAGGGGGGGAGGTTTCCTCACCCTAAACCCTAAACCCTAAACCCTAAACCCTAAACCCTAAACCCTAAACCCTAAGGAGTCAGGGGAGTCTGGGCTCAGAAATGACCGCCCCTCCGTCATTCCATCATGGGCCTAAACCTCCCCTGAACTCCCCACCGAAACCCTAAACCCCAAACCCGAGGCGGGTGGCAAAACAAGCCCTAAACCCTAAACCCTAGCCCGAAACCCTTAACCCTAGTTAAAACCTAGGCCCTAAACCACCTAGCAATCCTGGCCTCTGTGTGTCATGCCGTCCTATCCATGCACATGCGCCCATGCCCACCTGTTTGCATGTAGCCCACGGAAGGATGGTCCAGACATTTTTTCGCAGACACTGTGGGTAAGTTCAGATTTGGCTGAGCCTGGAGTCCAAAAAAGCCCATCAAAATCCTCTTGGCCTAAGGAATACAGGCGTTGGGCTTCTCAAGATCCCAAACTAAGTATTGGCCGGAACTTTTGGGATGTTCCCAGGCGGGAGACGCTAGAACAACCTCCCCCTCCATCCCCAAAGCCTCAACTCCAAGATGCTAGGCTTTGCAGACGATGAAGGATGAAAGAATGCGAAAACTTTACGCCAACCTTTGTAAGTACCAACGCCTTGAAAGAGGTGCCCTCGCGACCAGCGACCCAGTCCGGCAAACGACCAGAGGAAAAGGCGCAAGCAAAAAGGAAACCGGCGGCCAGAGCAGGGACTCACGAGTTTAGGGTTTAGGGTAGAGAGCCGCCCGGGGACCCGCAAAGGCTTTAGGGTCTAGGGTTTCCGTGCGCAGCTTCCAGGTTCAAAAGGTTTCAGGGCTCTTGCAACTCAATCTCTGCGCGCATGCAAGTCTTCTGGAAGATGTGCCCTGAGCTAGAAGCCCGAATCTGCCTGCGTGGGAGTCGCAAACCTAACCTCAAACCCCTCACCCTGAGCCCCAATTGGCCGCCCCTCATAACCCTTTGCAGCCTTGTGCCCTGGTGCAGGTGACCCTCAGGTCAGGATCTCTAGCCACAAGCCCCCTACAAAATTGGCCAAGGTTTTCAGAGCGGAATTCTAACCGCTCGAATGCCTTTGGTAGTCCCATCCTTGTGAAGTCTATGTCTATACGACGTACATCCTCCGCAAATGCAAAGGGCGGTTCGTGCTCCGATTGCGAAGATCCAAGGCTCAGGGAACTCTTCGATGCCCTTGGCTGGCCCGGAAGCCACACCGGAGCGGTGGCTTCGCCTAACGTGGCAGAGGGAGGTCTCTGTTTTTCGCACGCCTTTCGTGTAGCTCGAATCGTGCTGTTTTGAAAGTCTAAACACCTGTGCCTTCGCAGTAAGCATAATGCGAACATATAGCAATCATAAGGCTATCTTATTCGCATTATTCAACCTCAACATTCCTAACCTTTCTTTGCCCTCAGAGGTCTACGTCTTCCTGCGGCCTGCGGCCGCAAAGCTCGATGCTGCCTGGCAGGTCGAAAGAGCTACACGTTGGGAAATGCCCCCTCACACTAACAGGCCTTACTTAGTAGGCATTAGGCAGTATGGTAGGGGGTATTCCAATCCCTATTAAGGACAGTATAAGGGGAACATCCCAAGCTATAGGCTTAAGGCTTAGCATTTTTCTTGAGCCGGAGCTGACAGTATCCTCCAAGAAAGTTTCAAGCGTTAGAAGTCCGAGGCTCTGTTGGCCATTCTGTCTGCTGCAGCTGCCTACCCCGAGGTCTCTGGGGTTTTCGGGGTTAAGGGGTTCTCAAATGTAGGGTTGGGGTTTAGGGCAAGAGCTTGGCAATGCATGGCTCAGAGTTTGGAGCTCAGGGACTTTTGCATTGGCTGTTTCGGGGGGCTCTGAGCGTTGCTGGCAATGTTCGGCTGTCGGGAATGTTGGCATGTTGTCCGCACTAAGTTCAACAGTTTCACCTCCAGCTGCGCCCAAGGAGCCATCCAACAAGCTGGCTCCCCTAGTTCAAGCTTATCTGCAGATTCGAGCCCCAAGTTTTCAATCTTAATCTAACGGAGTTCTTACCCTACACCATGGAGGCTTGAGAATGGGACCTAGCTGCAAGCTGCGCTGACTCAGAATTCTAGGCTGGCTAAGACATAAGCGACTCATCCCATTGATCGATTCACCCCCCCCCCCCCGCCCCCGCAAACGGTACAACAAATTCGTGGCATGCTTGTGGGATGGGGCTACTGCAAAAGTGTTTCGGCCCGAAGGACGTGCTGCTTGTGCGGAGCCAGGCCGTCACGGTTTAGGGTTTAGAGATTAGGGTGGCCAGTAGACCTAAACCCTAAACCCTAAACCCTAAACCCTAAACCCTAAACCCTAAACCCCTGTTTCGTAACCTACCCTAGCTGTAAGCTCGCCCGAAAAGGAGTTTAAAAAAAAAAAAAAACCCTAAACCCTAAACCCTAAACCCTAAACCCTAAACCCTAAACCCTACATTTGGAATTTCGAGTCGGATTCGGGAGTCGTCACTTTTTGGTTCTGTTTGGGGGTTGGCAGAACATGGTCCAAGCAGGTCTGTTTGCCACCACGTGAGGGACGAAGATAGGGGACACCCAATATAAAATCCCCAAATAGTAGGATCCCCTTATCATAAGGACCCCAATAAGGTACCCACCCCCCCCCCCTAATATCGTAAACAAACTGCAGACCCCAAGCCCTAAACTCTAAACCCTAAACCCCCATGTGGTTTTGTTTTTCAAGCTTTGACAGGAGGAGAGCGACATGGCCAGCCTTGCATTGGAGTGCCGCAGGGAACTCAGAGTGATCCCAGAAGCTCGGAATGCCAATGCCACCAAGATTTCGGGCTTAGGGTGTAGGGTTTAGGGTTGTCCAAGATTTCAAGACACTTTAACTTAGTCACGTCAGTTAGCCCCTGAAGCATTCTGCTTGTTGTTTTGTGACTAGCAGTCTCCAGT